CGGTCTTCCCTGATGGACAGTGACCAGCGCATCGGCTGATGGACTGTCAGAGAAGTCCACAACCCAGAAAACATTGCGATATTTCAATCCAGCATCTGCTTGGAGATCGGAGGTTACTGGTACCTGAGCTTCTATTCACACATCGCAGTCAGGCGAAAAGGTGCTTTGCAGTTTTCCATGTAATAGCCTAGCGGTCGTCGGACACGCGGCCATTGAACGACTGAATAATATTTCTAACTGTGCGTGTTACCGTCTGTTTGTTTTCCGCTTTTATTGACCAGTATTTCCAACAAGGATTTGTGAATTTTATCCTCTTGTATCAACAGGACTAGCTATTGGGTCATTACTAATGTATCGAACAACGAAGTGATAAATTACGGTATCCAAGTAGCGTGCGTGTAGAGTAACAACCATCCATACGTAATTTTGGATAAGCCAGAGAAAGAACATTTGTAATGCGACTGAACAGGTAGAGCATTTGACAGTATTCCGACACAGTTAATATTTGGAATGGAAAAGATGGACTAAACACGAAGAAAGATCGCTAAATACACACCGGACAGGTCTGTTTGTAACTAATTCCTCAGGCCGTGACTAAGAGCCTAACCCTATGTACGTGCGGTGGACCGTGACACTCTACCTTGTGGGGATCAAAACAACACAATCTACGTAAAAACAATGCTGGATTCTTCCCCATATTCTTCGGTATATACACTGTGGATGTATGAGACAGGACAAACTCGATATTGTGGTCTTTATCTGACAAAACGCAAGCATGTATATTCGTAATATATTCTGATGCCAAGAAACTATGAAACAAAGGAATTAATTTTGCAGGACAAATAAAACACTAGGTAAAAATAGAACTACGTTGCGTTGAAAGCATTTGTCCGCTTAACAAGCCGCTTGATTAAAGGCGGTCAAGCAAAACGTGTCCGTAAGTTGTTTAGTCTCCACCTTAGAAACACACAAGGCTACATACGTACGTACCAAGAAGATCAGGTTAAACACAAATAGCGCGATCTTCATGCACTTGAAGGAGCAGTCAGCACAGCTCTTACAACATCCCATCTTGGAAGAATTCTCTCACATGAACGTCTCCGCGTTTAAAAGAAGAATAAAAACCTTTCTTGTGTTGCTGCGTTCATCACCTTATCAAGGACACTCAAACTTGAATGGTGCAGGGGATTATGGGTGTGGACGAAGGACGGGCGATACCAAGTGTTGCACAGGCGCGGGTGTTGACCTTGGAATTTTGCCAAATTTGTTTTCGTATTCATGCCGTGGACAGGGTATTTCCTCGTTTTAAGGAGCTCTACAAACATTATGGCCCATTTGACAATTCCTAGTAGCCGACGAAGTCTGTTTGAAACGTCAAAGAATGCGTTTTTAATCGACACTCAAGGCTGCACCCCTACCAACATTGCACACTTTCCGCCATGTTGATAGGCCCGCAGGCTAATGGAATAACCAATCGCCATGGCCGTAACTAAGCAAATATTTGGCATTGTGGTAAGTACGAGGATGTACGACAGACTTTCTTTGTCAAACTTGTCAGAGAAAGACTTCATATATTTATCAAAACATCGCATGTAAGGAGGATGAACGGCTTGTCAAGGATAACATGCCATGTTGTCGATAATGTAGTCATTGTCCTTTGAGACACATCACGCAATAACAGGACGTAGATCATTCAAGACGATTGTTCCCGCAGATTATTTAGTATTTAATATGTCGTCCTTAAAAAAGTCTCGAATAATATCATAAAGCTGTTCGTGCAAGTTGTCTCTTGCGCTGACCCTGAAATGAAAAACACGACCATGTCAACATCACATGGAGTCAAACTATGTTTGTAGCGACTGAAATAAACAATATCATAAATCATACAGAAAAGCTCTAGTACAAGTATATATTAAGAAACTTATCAAGCAAACCAAGACGTAGGGAAAATGCTATTGTGTAACAACTGGTTTTACCCAATGATCTTGTCGTTCTCAATTACATATGTCACAAGTGTTTCATAGCCCTAATATCGAACACAGCAGATTTATAGAATTTCCTCATTAATCATGGCAATTATATCCCGATTCGCACAATTGTAATTTAATTATGTCAAGCATCACTTAATCTACCTACATGCCAAAAATGACGACGATCCGTCAACCGTTTTTTTGGTTATCTCTGGAAGATTTTTAAACAAACCGTCCTGCAGTTCCAGAAGAAGATGCTAGGGGGCCTAAACTCACGTGACTCCTTCCCGAGCACAAGAGCAGACAAGAGCTACGTACCATCCAAAATTCATAACCCTAACAGATTGCGAGATAGCAAAACTGGAAGTTCTGCTGCAGTAGCCAGGGAATCCACTAGGGGCCCAAAATCATTTCCAAACCAATACCAGTAGGACGCACAGAACTTGAATATGCACTTGAAAAAAAAAACTATTAACGGTAAATATATATATGTACACAGCTGGTCACGTGATGTTTGAAATATTTCGTTTAGAAGATAAGGTTAGAGGTCAAAGTGCACATTTGTTGATGTTGACACACACATTGCATAATTTGTTACTGAAGCGTAAAAGCCCCTTGTCAATACGTCACCTTACATGTAAATAGGTTTGCAAGTCACCACTTCTTTAGCTTTAACATCTTCATCTAGAGCTGTCCAACATTACAACTTAAAATCAACTATGTGTTACCAAGAGACAATGTTCTCGAGTATAGATTTTGATCTTACATCTGAAAACAGTTACCTGGGCGTGCCGGGTAAAATCGTCATTAAAATCAAAGATTATTAGTACACGGCCCTTATAGTTCAGCTCTGTTAGACAGTATAGTTACAGAGAAGCAAATGGATACTACCATCATGTCTATATTTACAGCTGAACGAGAGAGTTCGCCATCCTAAAGATATGTTAATCTGTTGGCATCAGTCCAGACATGACACGCGGGTCAAGGTGATATCAAACGTGACACACAACTGGAGTAGGGCTCCTCGGGACATACGCACAGTGTGAGATTTCTTAGCAACTTAGGCTCGAGTTTAATACATAATCCCTTTACAGGAGAATTAAGACCCATGGTTAGGCAACAGGAAAATTAAGGTTGTGGTTCAGACAGAATTTTGTATAGATGGAATAAACACATTTCAAGTCACAGTGGCAGAATGAGTTTAATGCACGTTCAAGCCATGACAAATTAGTATATGGATCTATAGATGGCCATAGGTGAAATGTGTGCCGAAAGCCTTACTAATATTTCGTCCTAGTTGTGCACAAATATAGTCGCCAGACGTTTCTTTGCAGGCTGAATAAATGGTAGAAATCGGCCTAAAATGTAACTGACCGAGGGAGTTGGCTGGCCATAGAGGGTCCAATCACCCTGCTGTCCGTGCAGGTAAATTGGACACTCTATGGCCAGCCAACTCCCCTGGTCAGTTTTAATGCCGATTTCCAAAGGAGTCGACGTCTGATTGAGGCTACACAATGAAAGACAGTTGATTTCATTGCCCGACGGCGTAACAGACCCGGGTGCGTCTTTCACACGCTTGAGTCGATCGGATAATTTGCTATCGCATCATAAATAACATCTAATTTTTGCCATAAGGCAGAAAACCTGTTAACAGTGATAGGTTTGTTGACTATGCCCCGTCCGTGCCACGGGGCTGGTGACCAACTAAGTGGAAGGTGAATTGCAGGCTTCTTAGGGCCTTTTTGACTGCATGCTATCTTTTACTGAAGAGAAAATATTTTCTTTGAATACTGCAGTACTCAGTTTCAGTAACTCAGTCATTAAAACACAACATTGATCAGAAAAAAGGTCGATGCCAAAGAGAAGGAGACGATTTTAAAACTACCGCAGAAAGGTTTGGAGGCTATCCTTAATTAACTTGGCTTCGTGATAGAGCAAAGCGCCTCGGTATTTGATGCGCAGTCCTGCCGAACACCCGGTCTGAGACTGGTCGGAAATTAGGAAGCTCCTTAACGAATTGTCACCATGCGGTGAGTACAACTGAGCATTTATTGTAGTGTTGTTCCAGACGTTAGCTTTACATGGCTTTCGCAAAACAGTCGGTTGTGAAGTTTTGCAGGGTATATGGTCTATCAGAACCTTGGCTGGTGGTGCGGAAAATGGGCGGTGTGCTCGCACAGGCGGCTGGCACACGCTGCCCCGGAGTGGGGCTGAGAAAAAAAAAAGATTTTTAACTTCTTAAAAAAACTTAGGTTGGTTATCTTTTCGCACATGTTATGAAACAATGGTTATACCATTTCTTTCACCTTCTTGCTATAAATGTAAAGACGCCGGCGGTCTAGATATGTCCATACAAAATTTCTGGCGAAACTGTTGACAATCGTTCTGCGATTGCAACGTAAGATTCAATAAAATATCAATGTACTTCGTGCTAGAATTTTTCAGACTGAATGATTAGTTCTTAATTATGCTTTTTTGTGATTTTCTTCATTTTTAGGCGTCCTTATTTTCATTTCAGGACATCTTAACGTTATGGACTTTGTATGTACGAGTCGAGTATGACCGTGTTTGCCACTACGGCAGGAATGCTGTGTGGCCATCAAGTTCTCCATGAATGCATTTTTTTTTGAGTTTTAAGAAATGTGAGGGTATGTCGATCGCGAAGTGACTATGGGTGAAAATCTCAGAACTTAGATTAAAAGACGCCAGCAATATCCTTTTGGACAATTCAGATTCTCTAACCTGGGTGCCATCTGATTTGCTATGGAGCTCATTGCTCCCGCTAGTCCGTAGAAAATCGGATGGCACCCAGGCAACAAATTCTTTCCTATAGATACACCCACTATCTAGACTATAGTAGAGAAAAAGTAAATGCCCACAGAAATCCTACCTATTGAATTGGCGAGACACCTGAGGCGGTTGGCGTATGACATTCGGGTAAAGGAATGTGAAACAACAGGCTCAGAACATGTGGCGTACGCGTGCTTTTGGCACTTGGCCATTTCGGCATAGCTCCAGTCCGTTCATAGGATCTACAATTCTCCATGATCAGTTCCAAACCATGATTCTGTAGTTACCTCCATGAAAAATGGAGGTATGGTTTTTGGCGCGTCTGTCTGTCTGTGTGTGAGTGTGTTTGTGTTTCCGCACATTTGTAGTCAGCATAACTTCATAACGCCTTTATGGATTATGATGATATTTGGTATGTTGGTAAGTCTTTACTTAGGAAGACAAAGGTCAAGGTCAAATATGGGCCTCCTGGTGGATGACCTTGGTACTGCAGCAGAACTTCCGTTTATTGTATCTTTTGTCCTAAACATGCTATGGTCTTGATGTTTTGGTGACATCATAGCTATTTCTGTCAGAAATAAGTGGTGTGAGTTTCGTCCCCCTAGCAGCTTGTTCTGGAACTGCAGGGCACTTTCTGGCGAAATGTTTAAAAGCCAATTAGTCCAGATAGGAACAACATATTTCATCATTTTTGATGTGTAGGTAGCTGAGAGAAAGATGTACATAATTAAATGCAAATTACGCAAATGAGGACTTTATTTGCATAATTAATGGGGAAGTTCTATAATTACAGTGTTTTACATTATACTACTTTCATACATGTAATGTATGTAACCTATGGCAGGCGGAACATCAAGATACTAATCATGCAAATGATGACCTAATTTGCATAATTAATGCGAAAATTGTATGATTTTTTAATGGTGAACGGTGGGAATGTCAAAAGTTAACATACATCACGATGCATATATCATGTTAATGTAGAGGTCATTTGCATAATTAAAGAAGAAACTTACATTTACATATCAAGCCCATATTTCATGGAGGTATGAAATCTCGGAACTCTTGTTTTCTTGTGTAATGTTTTACGAGTTATCGCTGGGCACCGGGCACCACAGCTATACTGCAATTTTACGTCTCGCTACGCGCTGTTCTGTATTTGATGTTCTATAAGGCATTGCTAATTTCTGCGTATAATGCTGCTGTAAACCTGTATAAAGAGAATATGGCTGCGTTTAAAATGGTGAGAAATTCCAGCGCAACTAGTACACTGGTGAAAACTTGCTTGCAATTGAAGAAATGTTCGGCTAGGGATGAAAAAGTTTCTCTACCGGGGGTGGCTAGGTGCAGTTCGTAATTGCCATAAAAAGGATAGTGTGTAAAGGTTGTGGGCAGTTTTGGATAATGAGTGTTCATGTAAATGAATGATATCCTGTAGGATTATTTAGAAAAAGCCCATATGTAAGAAATCACATACTTTTGTTTCAGCCACAATGAATTTTTAAGACCACTCTAGTCACCTTTCAGGCCACGCCTCCATAATGACAGAATAAATAGAATAATTGCTACCACTTTCTTTTAATTGACAGCATATAAATGTCAAATCTCTCGTCTCTGGGTGGCTGCACTTTCTCTGATAGACCGCCAGAGGGAACACGTGAACATGTCTTACCGGTGGATTCGTTAATTGCTTGCTTGGCTTCCAATCGTATCTTGTCCGACCGCAAGCTTCGAGAAAGAGACCCATCAGGCTGTTATTTGTTGTATGGGCTCAGGCATTTGTATATTAATCATGACTTAATCAAACTAGATGCCTACGACCTTTATGGCAACCCTAATAAATGATATGCCTTTAATTCAAATGACAAACTTTCCGTTTTAGGTCCATCATCGGCCTCCTCCTCTGTCTCGCCCTTGTGTTCTATGTGGCTCCTGTCGGTGGAAAGAAAGTCAGAAGTACGTCTTTGAGATTCTTATGTGTTTCGTTTATACGACGATGATATACCAACTACTAGAACAAACTAACTAGGTAGAAGCTAATGTTGAAGGTTTGCTTCACGTACCCTCGTTTAAAAACACCGCCGCATGTCTGATTTTCTGTAATTATGACATGTTTACGTGTTTTTATGTCTTTAATATACAGATTTAAAGTAAGAGAGACATGTTCTACCTTGCAGAAAGGTGTAAGCCTTTGACGTTCCCAGACACGGTAAGAAGTTGTGACCAGGAGCCGAACGCAGACGGTTGGTACCGAGATGGAACCGTGTGCAACTTTGCCTGCAGGGTGGGATGTGTGAAGGACACAGGGGGCACAAAGAGGGTGTGCAAGGTCAAGGGCAGGTCAAAATGGTGGACTGGAGGACGCGGACTGAAGTGTCTTTGTGAGTGGATAACTTTCCGATACATACCTCTAGAAGAGCCTGGGCGTACGAAACAATTCATATTCCAATGGTTTGGCATTTATATTACACAAAATGCGCTTGTATGCTTTCATGGTTATTATCAGCAGCCGTCGACCAATCAGAAGGCTCCATTTCCCATGGTTTATCAGGTCATAACCCATGGTTATTCAGATAACCGCCCTTTTTTGGACCGTACCATTATACGGGGGACAGGACACTAACAGTAGTGTTCAGACTTGTAGTATTTATCTATAAAAACGTACTGTAATTCATGTTGAATATTTTTTTTTAAATACAGCACAATTGAAAAGGTAAAACTGAAATTTGAACAGAAAAATACAAAACATAATTTTTACACCCCCACTAACTGTCGTAATGTTTCAATGTCACGTGGTCACCGCAGATGATTTCCTAGTAGAGCCTAGTAGCTGATCTGTTTTTCTGTCCACACCATCTTGCTTCACGTGACATAGTTTTTTTCACGAGTTTCTTTTTTGGCAATGGAGGGATTTTATAAAGAAATTTGGGTCAAATAACTTAGTACGATAGGCCATATGACAGTACCTCGTTTCACTCGGTGGTTTATTCGGTGGTTATCGCACCCGACCAGGGGTTATCTCACCATATACACATCGGGTCGGAGCATTAACCCTTTATTATCTACTACATCGTTCTACGCCTAATACAGCATGTAAACCTGTTCAATTACAACCTATTCTTTACCACATAACCTCAAATTGTACTATTGCAATGAAGGAAATGAACTCTTTGACGCAGCCATCACATTGTAACCTAACTTTCACACGTATAAAGATGAAAGTTACTATTCTCTTAACATTCGAAAACCCACACGTTACAAAAAAACTGTAATCTTTTATTTTCCTCTGTCTTTAAAAAATAAGTCAAACCCAGTAGATTTAGGAGTTACGGTAGTTCTTATTTCTTATTTCTTGTGTCTAGTTATGTACATGTATGAGTGAGTTATGTACATGTCTAGTGAGTGAGTTATGAATGACATTCTTGCTCTTGTATCAGATGTTCTTTTTGTACTTGTAATTTCCTTTTATTAAATAAAAGTGTTAAAGAGGAGCTTATCAATCATTTACTACATCTCCAGGTCGCCCATGTGTCGGTGCGCCCAGCCACCCCGAAGGTTACACCAGTGATTGCGGTGCAGGCACCTACCTAGCCGGCCACACATGTGTCTTCACCTGCCCGGCCGGGTATGTCAAGTCGTCCGGTAACGAGAGGAAAGTCTGCGTGAACAGCCGCTGGAGGGGAGAAGACCTAGTGTGTGAAGGTACCGCCTTTGACTTGTATATTGTTACTAAAATTTTGTTAAATGTCTAATGGAGTTTTAAAAAAGGCAAACGGTAATGAATCAAAATAAGGAAAGTTCTGTGAAATGTACAGTTACATGCAGTTTTAAAGGTGCTCTTTGGCACATGTATTCGCCAATTATTGCCTTCGTCTGAGAGGTATGTATTCGGTTTGGGCCTGGTGTTAAACCTGTCGTGTGTGTCCGTACGTATGTGGGTCAACCTTATAACTCGATTACTTATTGGCGGATTTTTCTTATTACTAATGTGAAAATGTAGTTCAAGTTGAGAAAAGTCCACATTGCGTTTCCCAATCCAACTGCAGCGGTCTTTTTGTGCCTTTGTCGAATGCATTTTTGCACCCTTAAGTCAAAAATCTGTCAATAGATCTTAATGATATTTGGTGTGCAACGATTATAGAAACAAAATTCAAGTTCGAAAATGGTTATCCTATGATGTTCCTTGTGAGTTGTGTATCAAGTTCATGATTTTTGACTAGTAGAAAGCTCTTGTGGTTGGCTCAATTAGTGTAATTTTGGACCGCCAAGCAGCTTGTTCTGGAACTGCAGGGGCGTTTGTTCTAAAACATTGGAAGAAGGATAACTCAAGAACCGTTTGACGTTGTGATGTTTGCTACGTGGGGAGCTTAAGTGATGCTTGACATAACTAAATGACCTTTATGTAAATCAGGATCTGATTTGCATAAGTAATGAGGAAATTATATAAATTTGTTGTATTCCATGATACGTCGACTTAGACGATTGGCACGTGTGACTGAGAATGAGAGCAGCATGAGCAGATATCAATTATATAAATGAGGACCTGATTTGCGTAATCAATGAAAAAATGCTACAATTCAATAATGGTAACTGCAATAATTTCACACTTGCAGCATTTGGAGGTTAAGTAAAGGTTAACACCATTAAACATAACTTATTCACATTAAGACTCATTTGCAAAATTCAGGCAAGGAGGAAAATGTTATGATAGATTTATTTGCTAAAATAAGACTGCCATTGGATGGAGAATGTGATCAACTGATACAAACATAAGTTTGGCGAAGGCATAAGGTCGTGGAACTCTAGTTATTGCATTGATGACCAACTTTGCATGCTATGTAATTGATATGTCTGTACCAAACTTATACATGGCAAAATTATTAGATTCATCGTTAACCTTTGAAATTTGGAATTTATGTGGAGCTTAGTTCATTGAAAGAACGCATTATAACGTATATAATTTCAGAGACAAATGAATGTATGTCTAATCCGTGTGCTAACGGTGCGACTTGCGAGGACGAGATCGGCGGCTACACCTGTACCTGTGCTCCTGGATATGAAGGAGACCATTGTGAAACGGGTGAGTGTTTTCATCATTACTGTCGTACCCTACAGAGAGGTTCAAAAGTTGTTTAGGTCAAAACTAAGGCGCAACCATATTACATGTTATGGGGAAATTCCTTGATAAAGGTTATTGTAAGAACTTGTGAGAAGAAATGGGGGGTTTGCCACAATAGCAGCTTTGTGTAACGATATCTGTCTTTGGCACTTGAAGAATTCTTTAATTCCACATTTTATATGCAAATAAAACTACTTTGATAAAATCATCAGACATTTAGAAAAAGTCTGATTTTCGAAATGTTTGAATATAGTTACATGTCTTTCTCTTGTTCTCCTTCATTGTCTCTATATCTGTAGATGAAATGCAATATGCAGCACAAGTTGACATATTTGGATGCAACATTTTATGTGGAGCTTTTATAAAGAACGTGTTAAATGTCATTTCAGAGACAGACGAATGTATGTCTAATCCGTGTGAAAACGATGCGACTTGCCATGACGAGATCGGCGGCTACACCTGTACTTGTGCTCCTGGATATGAAGGAGATCAATGTGAAGCTGGTGAGTTTTTTTTAATTCGGCCACACTGGTTTAATTTTATGGATGACATCGTGCGCATTGATTTTTGCCTGTTCTCAAAAAATCACCTCCTCCGGGGATCTGGTCTGGTGCCATTCTCCGTAGTCCATGGTAGCTAGGGACGGTAACTACGGAGAAAGGCAAACAGGCTGGTGAAACTCTACGAAGCTCAATACAGTGCTGACTCATAAATGCCGCAAAGGTGCAGCATGAGCCGGCTTGTCGTAAAAGTCGCTATGGACTTCCGCAAATTCACAGTACCAGCTTCATGTTGGCTTAGCATTTTTTTTGGCTAGACTTTTTTTTCATTCGCCCGCGCTCATTAGTCTGGGGGTCTTCAGAGGATGTCCTCCATTAAAATTAAGGCGGTATAGCCTTATATATATCCTGGGTAACGAGTTATTTAGGTCAAAACAAATGTGCCATCATAATACTTGTTGCGGAGAAAATCCATTTGCAGACGTTTACGCACGTGCTTTAAACAGGAGCAGGGCATTTTCATTCCACCATAGTAGTTTCGTCCATCAGAGCTTTTTTTGACATTATTTAGACGAAGCAAGTTTCCATTCATATTTGTCTTCGCCAGGTAACGAATTGTTTTGTACCAAAACACTTTGTATTTCATCATCATCTGTCGGGAGTACATGTAGTTCCCGGTCCCAAACCCTCTCCCGCCAGTCCACTCTGTCCGTCATGGCAATCGCCAGGTATTTAAAGCAACAAAAACTACTTCAATGAAATCATTAGACGTTTCATGAAATATTTAATACCAAAATGTTGAATATTGATATATCCCTCTTCCTCTCCCTCACTATCTCCTTCCATAGATGCAATACAATGTGCAGCACAATGTCAGGCATAGTGATGCTATTTATACCCGATAGATGTATTAAGCTTAAAAAGACAAAAGTTTATTTTTTTATAGGCTGAACAATGCAAACATACTGGAGAACTGAAATATTGATGCTTCCGTATAAGTGAAAATACTTAGATAATGTTATGAGACGATTTAATGCAATTGAGCAGTGTTGTTAAAGAAGTTGTTAAATGTCATTTCAGAGACAAACGAATGTATGTCTAATCCGTGTGCAAACGGTGCGACTTGCGAGGACGAGATCGGCGGCTACACCTGTACCTGTGCTCCTGGATATGAAGGAGACCATTGTGAAACGGGTGAGTGTTTTCATCATTACTGTCGTACCCTACAGAGAGATTCAAAAGTTGTTTAGATCATCACTAAGGTGCAACCATGTTACCTGTTACGGGGAAATGCCTTGGTAAATAATATTGCAAGAACCTTCAAGAAGGGATGGTATTTTTGTCACAATAGCAGCTTTGTGTAATAGAAATTTTGACTACGTTATTATTTAGACGCAAGTTTCCAACGATATTTGTCTTTGGCACTCCAAGAATTCTTTAATTCTACATTTAATATGAAATTAAAACTACTTTGATAAAATCATCAGACATTTAGAAAAAGTCTGATTTTCAAAATGTTTGAATATATATACATGTCGCTCTCTTGTTCTCCATCATTGTCCCTATATCTGTAGATGAAATGCAATATGCAGCATAATTTTACATATTTGGATGCAGCATTTTATGTGGAGCTTTTATAAAGAACGTGTTAAATGTCATTTCAGAGACAGACGAATGTATGTCTAATCCGTGTGAAAACGATGCGACTTGCCATGACGAGATCGGCGGCTACACCTGTACTTGTGCTCCTGGATATGAAGGAGATCAATGTGAAGCTGGTGAGTTTTTTTAATTAGGCCACACTAGTTTAATTTTATGGATGACATCCGCGTGCGCATTGATTTTTGCCTGTTCTCAAAAAATCACCTCCTCCGGGGATCTGGTCTGGTGCCATTCTCCGTAGTCCATGGTAGCTAGGGACGGTAACTACGGAGAAAGGCAAACAGGCTGGTGAAACTCTACGAAGCTCAATACAGTGCTGACTCATAAATGCCGCAAAGGTGCAGCATGAGCCGGCTTGTCGTAAAAGTCGCTATGGACTTCCGCAAATTCACAGTACCAGCTTCATGTTGGCTTAGCATTTTTTGGCTAGACTTTTTTTTTTCATTCGCCCGCGCTCATTAGTCTGGGGGTCTTCAGAGGATGTCCTCCATTAACATTAAGGCGGTATAGCCTTATATATAACCTGGGTAACGAGTTATTTAGGTCAAAACAAACGTGCCATCATAATACTTGTTGCGGAGAAAATCCATTTGCAGACGTTTACGCACGTGCTTAAAACAGGAGCAGGGCATTTTCATTCCACCATAGTAGTTTATTTTCGTCCATCAGAGCTTTTTTGACATTATTTAGACGAAGCAAGTTTCCATTCATATTTGTCTTCGCCAGGTAAAGAATTGTTTTGTGCCAAAATTTAAAGCAACAAAAACTACTTTAATGAAATCATTAGACGTTTCATGAAATATCTAATACCGAAATGTTGAATATTGATATATCCCTCTTCCTCTCCCTATCTCCTTCCATAGATGCAATACAATGTGCAGCACAATGTCAGGCATAGTGATGCTATTTATACCCGATAGATGTATTAAGTTTAAAAAGACAAAAATTTATTTTATAGGCTGGACAATGCAAACATACTGGAGAACTGAAATATTGATGCTTCCGTATAAGTGAAAATACTTAGATAATGTTATGAGACGATTTAATGCAATTGAGCATTGTTTTTAAAGAAGTTGTTAAATGTCATTTCAGAGACAAACTAATGTATGTCTAATCCGTGCCGTGTTTAATTTGTGTTAATTTGAAATTTTGTAAAATGGGACTTTTCTGCTATTTTGACCAAAAATGTACATTTTTGGCTCCTAGTCCTATTCGCTATTACGAAAATCAAATGACCTGAAATTCAGCATAAGAAGGTAACTTGGCACCAAATGCCTAGACTATATTGTTCACTATTCAGATTCAGCCCTTTAAAATACTTTTATTTACCTTACTTTCAGTAAAAACAGCGATTGTAATTTGTGGCTTCAAAACCCAAATCCCTAACTGACAGATCTAAATAGAACACTTGGATCTACATGTTCCAATAGCAGAAGGCGTTGGAGGATTCCATTGTCGCATGGGGGTATATAGTCTAGAACACCACATTTTGAACAGTGTTGACTTAGGAACAGTCCATTTGTGCGGGAGGGGGATAGGTCCATTTTTGGTACGGGTGATGTGGTGAAGCCATCTGCTGTATTTGATGTCGGCCTTTCTAGTTACTCCGTGAAGGAGGTCAGGACCTCCGGACGGAGTGTTGTGATCGGCTAATTTTTTGTGTTCGCAGTCAAAACACTGGGTTCTCTTTGTGTAATCGGCACGCAATTTTATACGCCGTCTGCGGGCATGCCCGTGTTGATGCACGAATGTGTATTTTTGCCGTTGCTGCTTTCGCGGTCAATGTAATATTGCAGACGCACCCCTACAATTACGAGGCGAATTGGAATGGTCCAGAAAAACGCGTTGTTTGGAATAGCAGTGGGGGGGTGGAACTTCATGCAGATACGGGGTGGTTTTGATAAGTGGTTCCAGATGTTTTTGCCCATGGTAAAGAGATGCCAAGTTTTTTGGAAGATGTTCGCAGCCAAAACGCATTCTTCCGTACGTCGCATTTTTGTGTAATTTCGCATGTGGTGTGGCATTATGTCCGGGATGATGCAAGTCTTTTTATTTTTACCGTAGCTGTTTTGATATTGGAGTAAATGGTTATTTTCGAAACATCCCCATGTCGTTGAAATGTTGTCGTCCGTTTATGTCACCGGTAGTAAGTCGCGGCGGGGCTGATGGTGCGGAAATGTGGGGTGGTCAGAGGTCAACATTAGGAAATGTTAATACCGATGACGTAATCCTATCAATTTCAAACTGGTCGGGTGTGGCGACCTAGTGGCGGCGTGTATTTAGTCACGTAGCAACTGGCCGGTCGTCCTAGCAACGACACATGGCCAATATTTTTGGGTTGCGCCGCTCCATAGTGTTAGTGGAGCAGCTCTTTGTAAACATGGACAATATTTTTGAGCAACCCATCAATGTGTTCTGCCTCGTGGTCGGATGTGGTCTGGGGCTGGTAAACCGCACATACAGTACTAGTAGATCGGGTAATTTTATGATTTGCTAGTTGTAAAAGCGTCGTGTAGTATGAGCCGGTATATGAAGAAGTAGCCTGTGTTACACAATCATGCTTTCGGCCGGATTGATGTGCAACTGTTACTAATTGCAGGGACTGCGCTAATGCCGACCAGTCGCGCTGTCCTGATACACCGCGAATGTGCGAGTGTTCCCTGTAGACAGACCCGGGAGTCATTTTTTTCGCACATTCCAGGAGCCAAACCAAAATACGTTCATGAACCGAGTCCAAAAAACCGAAACGTGAAAATCGGATGATCGGACCTGATGTACATTTCTCTTTCTGTAGATTGTACACACAATACACACATCTTTAGATAATCTGGCCATGGCAGGTAAAAAAAAGTAACCCTGAATCATACTAGATTAGCGTAAATGCATGTTTATGCGTTCAAAACAAGAAAAGAATTTGTTTCCCGGTATTAATCTCTTGATTATGACACGGCGCTGAATATTGACGCAAAAATATTTCGGGCATCGCGCGCCCTTCCCCATTGTTTAGACTGTATGCAAATCCCGCGTCACGTGTCGGCATTTCGCATCTCTGATTGGTTGTTGCGTCTTAAGATGACTGAGCCGACGCGCGTTTAAACAATTTTTCTTTGTTCGATTTATCACACTTCACAGAGAATTGTCGCCAATGGCTACTTCTTTTTGTTGCAATATATAATACTTCACGGAGAATTGTCACCTATGGCTTCTTGTTGTCTTTACGTCTGTACAATATTATGCACTACAATGTGGAACACAATATCAGACATAGCGACGCCATTTGTATCTGATATATATATGTCACAGGGGAGATTGGAATCCAGGGGGATCCGGAATCCTCCTAGGAGAGATTGGAATCTCTATCTCCCCTAGGAGAATCTGGAATCCTCCTAGGGGAGATAGGGATTCCAATCTCCCCTAGGGGAGACTGGAATTCAAGTTTTTTTGTACAAAACTGGGGTCTGAATTCCAATTTCTCCTAGGAGGATTCCAGATTCTCCTAGGGGAGATAGGGATTCTAATTTGCCTGTTAGGACAATTGGGAATTCTTACAGGACAATCTCCAATTTTAAAAGGAGAAATTCTGATTGCATCAAAATGCTTGGGAAAATAGACTGAGTTATTTCACACCTAAACTTTCAATCAATTTCAGCATAGGTAAGTGAATATGTAAATCAGACTCAGATATTTGCATCAGGCCATTGTGAGATGGTGGCTCAAAAACCAGTTTTTCCAGTTTGTTAGTGACTTGGTTCATAATATAAATTCTGAATAAAATCATGGTTTTTAAGAATATTGTTGTTTTTGGGGGGGTCTAAGTTAGGAAAGATTATGGAATTAGAACTGCAAATTATGCCAGGACAAATCTTGATTCCAATCTAGTAATTCACCTACAATTATAGTAATAGGCTTGCCTATGCTGAAGTTGGTTAAATGTTTAGGTGTGAAAAGATTCAATCTATGAGTTCTTACAACTGAATCTGAATATCTACAATGGGATCTGAATATCAGGATTTCAATCTCTCCTAGAATTCCAGATTCCCCAAGGAGGATTCCAGTCTCCCCTAGGGGAGATTGGAATCCCTATCTCCCCTAGGAGGATTCCAGATTCTCCTAGGGGAGATAGGGATTCTAATCTCCCCTAGGGGTGATAGGGATTCCAATCTCCCCTTGGAGGATTCCGGATCCCCCTGGATTCCAATCTCCCCTGTGACATATGTCTGTACATCGAAATAGAAAAATACAGGAACGCTCGAGCATATTTTAGAGGTAGAATAATGCCCATAGCCCGAACATTTTGAATATTGCTGTTTCCTTAAAAGTGAAAATACTTAGATAATATTATCAGCCAATTCAGAGCATTTGAGATTTAAGATTAGAAATTTCATGTGGATATTTTTGCAAAGAACGTGTTGTATGTCATTTCAGAGATAGACGAATGTATGTCTAATCCGTGTGCAAACGGTGCGACTTGCGAGGACGAGGTCGGCGGCTACACCTGTACCTGTGCTCCTGGATATGAAGGAGACCATTGTGAAACGGGCAAGTTTTTCCATTTAATATATAGACGTGTTATCGTACAGTGATAATGTATTTGGGTCAAAACAAATGTGCAGCCATGTAACTAAAAGTCACACCCCAACTAATTAATTATAAGCACCATGCACTGTCACTGCTGAACATTTCAGGTTCTAATGTGACAGTGGACTAACACATTTTTTTTATATAGCGATAGAACAATAGATGTCAGATTTTCTGAAACTTATCAATAACTTTTGGGTTTCTGCAGTCAGTACAGTGGAGACAACCACGTCCCTGTTACTAGTAACTGGTAAGTCTTACTGGTACATAGACTATGCTAGTAGATATGAGGGACAAATACTCCTCTATCTTTCTATTCATCAATGTATTTCTCTATTCATCTATATCTACATCTGCAGTGTCTCTCTCTCTCTCTTTCTCTCTCCCTCCCTGAGAGAATGAAGGATACCTATCATACGATATATATATATATATATATATATATATATATATATATATATATATATATATAGTACTAGTAC